GTGTACATGGGTCGGGTGGTTCGGGTTTAGCCATTTTAATCACCCGATCCATGCACTACGGTTTAGTAAATATCAAACCCAAACCCACCCAAAAAAATTTAAACCCTACGGTTTGTTTCTAATTGGGTTGGGTCGGGTTGACGATATTTTTAAGTAAAAACCCAACCCAACATAAAATATATAATTATTCTACATCATAAAAATATTTTATAACTAATTAAAATTTCAAACGAATAAAACGAGGTGAAAGTTATCAAAATTTCATAAATGTTGTTTGAATTTTAATGAAATGTGATTTACTTTAACATATGTCTAGTTTTTTCACGATATTTGTTGAAATACGCCAAAAAGTTTATAAACCATAATATATTCTATTAAAATTGTACACAAGAAAAAGGATTACATGAATCGTAACTATATTCAATTTATGTCTAAACTTTAAGTTGATGAATGCATCAATTTATGGAGACCATAAGAGAAAAACATGGCGAAATATCTTAATTTTCTCATAAGTATGGCTATATACGACATAAATATTTTTTAGATACGAACTCATACTAATAGTTGGAACACGGGTTGGGTCGGGTTCTACGGGTTGTGTAATCCAAAACCCAAACCCAACAAAAAAGAGGCGGGTTGTACAAAATAAAACCCTCACCCAACCCAAAACCTTCGTTTTAGCGATAAATACGGGTGGGTTGGGTCGGGTTGGACGGGTGGGTCGGTTTGCGGGTGTGTTTATTCACCCCTAGACACTATGTGTATGATATATGTATATATGGTTTTACCTTTATAGAATATACGTTTTTTGGTGCATGTTATGCACTCGCCTCATAATAATTATTTTGAGCAGGCGATCGTCATTTGTGAATAATGAACTTGAAAATATATGAATTTACACACAACTCTTTCAAGATTTATTTTAATTAGAATGGTTTAGGGTTTAAAGGATTCAGGAATTAAAAGATTTGAATTTATGCCTAGATATTGCATATTTGTATGGATTAGTGATAAACTGATAATCATATGTTATATTAACGTATTAGACTAAGAATAGCAATTAAAAATAAAAATTCGTATAGTTATTAAGTTGGGTATATCCGTATATATAGTACGAGTGCACCGTAAAAGCCAGTGTAGTCTTCTTTGCTTCATTTCCTTTACCTCAGTTCGTCAACGATAAAACACACCTGGATACACTAACACTGTCGGCGAAGGAAGGAGGAGCCACTTAAAAATCAAGGGAAGGAAACACCGCCACGTCGGCAATCCTTTCCCACAAACAAAAACTAAAAAACAAAGTCAAAAGTAAAAAAGCTCCGCAAATTACATACCACCTCCACCACATGCTCTCCGCCGCGCGTCCCCCTCACCCCAACGTCGCCAGAACCTTCGCCGCACGTGCGACCGGCACGCACACCAGATCCGTCGCCTTCGGCACCGTCAGCCCCTGCCTTTCCGACATGTCGACGGGATGCTCCTTCCCTCTCACGACCTCTCCGTCGGGTCCCACCACCTCGAAGTCGAAGCACTGGATCACCGCCGCCAGCGCCGCGGGGAGCTCCTGCAGCGCCAGCGACATCCCGGCGCAGATCCGCCGCCCGCTGCCGAACGGCAGCAGCTCGAAGTGCTGCCCCTTCATGTCCACGTGGCTTTCGAGGAACCGCTCGGGCCGGAACTCGAGCGGGTCGGCCCAGTACTTCGGGTTCCGCCCGACCGACCACATGTTGACGAACAGCATCGAGTTTTCGGGGATTTTGTAGCCGCCGATCTCGCACTCCTGCACGCACTTCCGTGTGATCATCGGGATCGCCGGGTGGAGGCGGAAGGCCTCCTTGATGACGGCGTGGATGTAGACTAGGTTCGGGCCGTCGGATTCTTCTACGAGTCGGTTCGGCCCGACGACCCGGTCGATCTCTTCTCTGGCCTTTTGGAGTACTTTTGGGTAGTTTATTAGTTCGGATAGGGCCCACTCCAGTGATGCCGCTGACGTGTCAGTTCCTGCTGTGAAGAAATCCTAACAAAACAATTCCAAATAATACACTGTTAAGTCAAGCGCGAACGACTAGTGAAAGTCAAAGAGAAAACTTATTTTGAGTGATAATGTGCTCCCCACGTCTTTTGTTGGAACTTTGGTATCAACAATTAATGAAAAAATTATTTGAAAAATTATACTTGTTTGTTTTCAATATTATGTGTTATTTAAAATTCGAATCAGAAATATCTTGGTTGACGACTACTAATAATATCACTAAAAATAACCATAAAAAAAATAATATCACTAAAAAATTTCGTCCATTATAAAACGGTTAATGATAATCTACGGTCTACAGATAAAAAAAATGCCAACCTCCGATGGGCCAACAAAGTCATTTATTTGTATGTTTAGTGTTTATTTATTTCGTTTCTCTTCCCAATTGAGAAATATTTTTCTAACAAGATGATTCGCTTATCGAATTCACAGTCTTCAGAAAGTACGTACGTTCCATATTCATCACAATAGGAAGCACGACGTTACATGAAATTGTTACTAGCATCAACGGCAACACGGACGTGTACCAGCCATCTAATGCATACTAACTGTGTATTTCATAATCACTGCAACCTCACTACCATAAATTCACAGAGAAAGTCACGTGAAGCCGACCCAGAAGGTGGAGCCAATTTTCAAAGCCAATTAATGGACAACAAAACAAAACCACGTCACAGATGCTATCAAGAAAGAAAGAACGAGACGATACTCTTATTGGTAATCTAATTAATTATCAACTATCGAATTTGCTACTTCCAAAAAGTATGGAGAGAAAACGAGTAGTAGTATGTATGTAGCTTACCAGTACTAGGGCTTTAACGTGATCCCTCGTCAACTTGATCTCCGCATTCTCATCCTCAATCACATCCAGCATCAGATCCAAAAAATCCCTCGCCTCCCGCCGCTTCCCGCCGTCCCTCCGCCGCTCCTCCTCCCTCACCGCCTCCCTCTCATTCACAATCCTCTCCAGCAACTCGTCGAACCTCCGCCGTATATCCTCCGACCTCCTCTTAAAACCCTGGAGGTCCCACTTCCTCAGGAACCACACGAAATCCGACACGTTGAACTCCCCGAATATCTGCGTCACGTCCCGGGCCAGCCTCCTCGCCACCTCGGCCTCGCCCTCCGTGCCCGAGGCGCGGATCCCCAGCATCATCATGCAGATGATGTTGTTGGAGAACCTCAGCAACTCCTGGCTGAGGTTCACCCTGCCTCGGTTTCGGGACTTCTCATGGAGGAGTCCCAGCAGGCTGCGTAGCTCCTGGGATCGGATGGGCAGGAACTGGGCCAGCATCCGGTTCCCCAGGAGCTCGAACGTGCTGATCTTCTTGATGAACTTCCAGTACGCACCGTAGGGTGCGAACGCGAACGAGATGTTGTCGTAGGTGACGTAGTTGGTGACGATGGTGCCCGCACGCATGGAGAAGCAGAGCTCGTGTGTCTTGAGGAACTCGCGGGCCATGTCGGGGGACGAGGCGACGATGGCGGAGATGGAGCCGAGCCTGAGGTGCATGAGCGGGCCGTGTTTGGCGGAGAGGGCGTGGAAGGTGTGGTGGATTAGTGGGCCGATGAGGTGGAGGTGGCCGATGATGGGGAGGGCTATGGGCCCGGGAGGGAGCTTGCCGGAGGCCCATTTGTCCCGGGCGGTGGCGAGGGCGAAGAAGGCGAGGATGGCGAGGAGGGAGAGGAGGAGCTCGACGATCATGGTGGCGGGAGGGAGGGGATAGGAAGATGGAATTGAAATTTTGAGGGACTAAATGGAAATTTTATAGTTCTCGGGTGGGAGTGGGACTATGTGTGGGGAATGAATGGAGAAGTTGGCTTATTATTAGGGAGCGGTGAGAGCACGGTGGTAGGTATAGGAATAGGATCCGTTTTGGGGGACGTAGCAAATAGTGAGATTTTGAGGGACTGAAAGTGAAATATTGGTGTGGATAGAAGTGGAGTGATGGGAGAGAGAGATCTGTGAGGGTGAGGTTGGTTTGGTTTTGCATAGAGATGGAGAAATTGAGAAGGCGGGGTGGTAGGTAGGAGGAGGAGTCCTTTCGATCAAAGGTATTCACGGTTCTCCTTGGTTCGGAATTCATTAAGCACATCATGTCGTTTTTTTTCTCGTAGAAAGGAGATCCGTGAATAGGCTATTTATGGTTACTCGTTGACACATAATTTTTCGCCATTACAACCCGATCCGTTCACCCGACCCGAAATCGTCCGGAAATTAGAAATTTTTGTAACCCGAAATCCGAATGATCCGAATCCGATAACCCGTGATTTTTTGGGTCAGGTTGGGTTGGTTAGCGGGTCGACCCGTTTGACCCGTTCCATTTAATATATTACTCCCAAAATATGATAAAATCACTCATAAATTGGTGAGATGTTTAAAAAAATCACAAGGATTTCAATGACATGTTTGGAGTTTTAGGATAATCAAATATCATGTGTTTCTTGTAGTAGTATTACTCTTGTGATTGTTTTTTGACGATTTGCGCAATTTATATTTCATTTCATTAGCGTGGGAGGATTTGAGAATACGTGTTAGGTAAACTATTGTCATGCATATTTGAATATATGTGTTCTTTAAGAAAATATGAAGCATGTTTGATATTGTTTCTGGGAACGCTCGAAATGACCTGTAACCCGACCCGAAACCGAATGGGTTGGGTCAATATTTGACCCGAAATAAGCCAACCAAACATGACCCGACCCGTAACCGAAGTTCCCAACCCGACCCAATTACCAGGTCTACCATTATTAGCTATATGGTTGTAGACAAGTATTAATTGTGAAATGGTATTGAAGGTTGTACCTCAAAAATTGATGGTAGAATATTTTGTGTTGAAATTATTCATATTAAGAGTTCGTTATATAGCTAGAACTCAGAGAAATGGGAGAGAAAGAGGGGGAAGGGCTAGGCTACCTAAACGATGTAATTGTATCTATATAATCTATTTAATAAACAGTATGATAATTAAATTATTATATTTGTGCTTGTACGTCTTATCTCAATGTGCTTTGAATGCGCATTTTAGACAAGATTTTTTGACATATTGCAAGTGAGAGACCATCACAATATGTAGGGAATTCCTACAATGCCTTGAAGTAAGGTAATTTGATTTTTTTGTTCTGCTATAGCAGGTTTCACAGGTTGCATTACATAAAACCCAATAGGTATTACATAATGATTACGTGACGTATTTATAGCTTACGTAACAGTTGTAAAATATAATTTCAGAAGTCTTACGTAATGAAGAATTCTTTTACATAATGAATATTTATCTCGCGTTACGTAAAGTGATAAGTAATTACGGAAGGCTTACGTAATGATTCTAATTTAACTGTTACGTAAGAAATTACTGTTATTACGGAAGCCTTATGTAATGAAGGGTCCTTTTATGTATTGAATATTAACCCTCTGTTACGTAAAGTGCTGAGGCATTATGGAAGCCTTACGTAACGCTTCTGATTTAACTGTTACATAAGAGATAACTGTCATTACGGAAGGCTGACGTAATGGATGTGTATTTTACATAGCAGTTGTAAAATGTCATTACGGAAGCCTTACGTAATTGAGGCTTCTTTTCCGTAATGAATATTAACCTTGTGTTACGTAAAGTGTGAAGGCATTACGTAAGCCTTACGTGACGCTTCTGATTTAACTATTGCGTAAGAAACAATTGTCATTACGGAAGACTTACGTAATGGATGTGTATTTTACGTTATAGCTGTAAAATGTCATTACGGAAGCCTTACGTAATTGAGGCTTCTTTTTCGTAATGAATATTAACCTTGCGTTACGTAAAGTGTGATATCATTACGGAAGCCTTACGTAACGCTTCTGATTTAATTATTACGTAAGAAACAATGGTCATTACGGAAGCATTACGTAATAGATGTGTATTTTATGTAACAATTGTAAAATGTCATCACGAAAGTCTTACGTAATTGAGACTTCTTTTACGTAATGGATATTAACTGATCACGTTGAGCTCATTATGTAAAGTATTTAATTCGAGTCTTCCACAATATTTTCGGTATAAAACTATCATAAAAAATTATGAAGATAAAATAAAAAAAAATTAAATACACACAATTGGGTAAAATCAACCAGAGCACCTAAGGTAAAAAATTAAGAAATTGTTCAACGGAAAAACAAAATGGAAAGAGAAAGGAAAAAAAAGGAAAGTATTCATAAAAAAAATAGGAAAGAAAAAATAAAGGTAACGGGAAAGTAACTGGGATAAATTCCCTAAATATTGTTTTTTATTTAATTTACCACGAATATAGTGGTTTAAAAATTATTTACAAGAATATTGTGTTTTTTGGTATGTTTAAAGCGCTAAAGCCTTAGACTCAGGCGCGGCCGGTAGGTGCTGTTTTTTCAAGAAAATCCAGCGGCGGCGCCCGAGACTGGGGCTTTTGGCCTTTAAAAATTGTGAAAGCGGCGCCGCCCCAGACTGGGGCTTTGTCTCTTAAAAATAAGTAAAAGCGGCGCCGTCCCAGACAGGGGTTTTGTCGCTGCCTTTTTCTTCCACTCCAGCACCACCCATCACCATCTATACTACACCTTTCCTTCGGTTCTTCACCACCAAAAAACTGAAAGAAGTTATTCATAAAAAAAAAACTGAAAGAAGTTCCGAAAGAAGCTCTAGTGTTGCTGTCTGGTTGCTGGGAAGATGGCTAATAATAGGTAAGAGTCGTATTTATTTTTTTCATGTATTCATCATAATGTTTTTGTCCAGTTAGTAATTAGTGAGTTTGTTTTTTATGTAGTGGTTTTAGAAGATTTGAACTAGCTGTTCGGTGGAAATCAGAGAAAGTAGAGGACAATTTGGGTGTCCATTTTGTTGGTGGTGTAAGTTTTCAGATGGCTATTCCATCCAGGGTGAACTATAAGAAACTTTGTGATAATCTAATTCGGACTGTCTTCCAGAATGGCAGAATGGTGTTTTATTTCATTATGCAATGCCTATTGTCGATAATGATAGCTTAAATGTGCATTGGAATTTTATGGCACAAAATCCTTATTGTTTGGGTGCTGAGATACATGCTGAGCTTAGTAAGGATCGGGGTGGAGAGGAAGAAGATGACACATGGAGCATGCCATCCGATCATGACTATGATGACGGTGATGACGGGGAGGAGGAAGACGATGATGATGATGATGATGAGGAGGAGGAGGAGGAGGACGACGACAGGGAGGGAGGAGAACAACCTAATTATCCTCCATATTTTTACTTGCAGGGTAATGAAGAGGACGAGGAATTATCATATGCTGATTCATATGGCGTAATTCCAGAGTCTATTGTTGGTGGTTTTGATGGAGAATTCTACAAGGGGCAAATATTTCACTCGAAACAAGCTGCACAGGTGGCGATTAAACACTATGCACTACTACAATGAAACTTTCAGTATAATGTGGTGGAGTCGTCACCTTCAATCTGGAAGATCAGATGTTTGATGCACAAGGAGGACAAATGTCCTTGGATGGTGCGGTTTGGATGTCGAGATGTGGGAGGCGATTGGAGCGTGAGAAAGACCGAGTTGGTGCATACTTGTAGCAGTACGACTCAACCGACGGATCATCGCCATCTTGATGTCGACGTTATATCTGAGTCCGTGAAACACTTGGTACGTGCTCAACCAAATTTGAGTGTTCTAATTGTGCAGGCCGAGTTGAAAGATAAGTTTATTATGCAAGTTACTTACAAGAAGGCTTGGTATGGGAAACAAAGAGCATTGGAGAAGTTGCATTGAAATTGGGAAGAATCCTACGATTTTTTGCAAACATTCTTGCGGGTGGTCAAGAGAAAAATGCCAACATCGGTGATTGATTGGGTAAGAGTTCCTTCGACTCAAACAGGTCATTCAATATTTCAGCAAGTATTTTGGGCTTATGGACCTTGTATAGATGGATTCAAGAATTGTCTAGGCGTCATGGTTGTTGATGGAACATTTCTTACTGGGAAGTATAAAGGAGTGCTACTCATGGCGAGCTCATTTGATGGCCGGAAGAAGATTTTTTCAATTTCATTTGCCATAGTGAAGAGTGAGCAAATATTTCATGTGATAACTGGGTCGACCAACCTCAAATTCATTGGAGTTTAGCACATGATAACTACAATGGTGGGCGTCGTTGGTCGATCCTGACATCCAACATGGCAAAAAGCATCAATGGTGTTTTCAAAGGTATTCGTTCACTTCCTATAGCTTCTCTTGTGAAACATACCTATTGGCGATTGGTGGAGAAATTCGATAAGATGAGGTTGGAAACGGGAGCAGAAATTAGAAGTGGTGTACAACAGTATTCCACCAAGTGCGAGGAGCTGATGCAGCCGTGGAGACAAAAGGCAGTTGGACATTCCGTGTCAGCGATGGATCGACGTCAAGGCATCTATGTAGTTCAGACTCCTCCCAACAATTTCAACATGACGGGGTCAAACACACTCACAGTGCACTTTGACGACCCCAACCGGACGGGATTTTGCCCTTGTGGGAAATTTCAAGGAAATAAAATTCCTTGCTCTCATGCCATTGCAGCTTGCAACCGAATGGGGGCTAATCCACAACTTGTACAGGTAGAACTGATCTACATGCTTACGGGTGTGGGCCGGAAGCCATCGAAGGCCACGTGGCACTGCGTCCAGAGTAATATGCACACCCGTCCCCGCATGTAGTGGTGATGTATGAGGAAACCGCTCCCACGTCTATATCATCAGCAAGGCGGACCATCCACCAAAGTCACCACCCAGTGAAGAAGATGTCGTCATCTGCAGCGCCGATCTACCCATCTCACGGTACAAGTAGGATAGCACAGCTGCTCCCCAAGCAAACCTCCCCGCTCTACGCCAATCCTCCACCAAAAGTAGGTACTGCAGGTGAACTGAACCTCCAGACCGATCGGAGAACAAGACACCTCCCATCAGAGACAGCGCATACGCTCTTGCAAACTGCTCTATCGTCTAGGGTGATGCAGAAAGCGGTAGCTCATCGAAAGTCTCCCTGAGCCAAGCAATCCGGATGACGCCGCCACCAAGATCAGTAGGAGCCCGTCCTAACAGTCGAAGACACATAGCCGACCAATCCTCGTCTGGTATGTCTACTACGACGGCATCACCGTTGATCGCTAGACCGGTCAGTGTCGCAACGTCCTCTAGGGTGATCGTCACCTCACCGAACGACATGTGGAAGGTCGATGTCTCGGGTCGCAACGCTCTACGAGCGCAGTAATCAAACCCGGATCACCGGTAAGAGGGGCTAGTGTCAGAACACTAGACAAGCCGGCATCGGCGAGATACGGCAGGTAAAGTGGGTGGTATCGCACTAAATTGCCCGTATGACGAATGTGGTAAGATCGATCACCAGCCTATAATTAATGCACAAAACTTATATTAATTCAATTCCTTCAATTCACCTAAACGTTATATTTATATATCTAAACTAAACTTATTCTAATATACTCTTAATTTAATCTAATTCTATTCGTAATTTAATTCTATTCTATTCTATTCTATTATTCATCTAATAAAAAACTATAGAAATAGTTTGGAAACTTACCTCGTTTGCCCAAACTACGTCAATACGATGGTGACCATGCCCCCAAAAAAGTTCCGGATCCACCGGAGTTGTATCGATTGTCGCAGGTGGTGGTCTCATCGAACAAGGATCGATAAGTCTAGGAACTGAAAAAAAATTAGAGCATAAGTAAATTTTCCACCGCCAACTTACTCCTGTAGCGCTCGCCGCCGCCGCGCCGCGCTCGCCGCCCTCGGCCCCTTCCTCTGTCGGGCGTCTGCTGCTCGTCGTCGGACATGGTGAGAAGCAGATCTGCTGCGACGGCGCTCTTGTTTAGGCGCCTTCGTCAGGGAGTGAGCGCGGCCGCCTGAGACTTAGGCGGCGCCTTCTTCTTCTGGGCGTCGCCACTCTCTTTTTGGCGTCGTCGCTGTCTGGGAGGTGAGGGAGGAGGGGAGTGTGTGTGGTTCTGGCGAGAGGCGAGAGGGAGTGACGAAGAAGGGGATAAGAAAGAAAAGGTATATAGCGACGGCGCCCGAGTCCAAGGCATTGGCGCTATTTGAAATTTTCAAAAATTTCAAATAGCACCAACGCCTTGGACTCGGGCGTCGTCACCTCTTTCTCCCTTGAAAACCCAATTTTCTGAGTCTCGGGCGCCGTCGCTGTCTTCCCCCCTTCAAAACACAATATTCCTGTAAATAGTTTTTAAACCACTATATTCGTGGTAAATAAAAAAAAAGACTATATTTTGGGAATTTACCCAAGTAACTGGCAGTGCCGCTCTCCCCCTTTTTATTTTTTTATTTTTTTTTCTTAATCAATAATTTAAGATGATTCTAACTTATTTTAATGGTCTAGATCTATATAAATTACATAACTTAAAATTATACCCAAATTACTATAGGAGGTCCCGATGATGTATATTGCTCGTGCTACACCAGAAGTTGGTTGAACAATGTTGCCATCCATGGAAGTTCCAGTGAGGTGTCTACCAACGTCATGTACTAATGCTTTTGCTGATGATTTGGACACATTTTTTATTATTATCACCAGCTGATGGGTGAAGTGCCTAAAAGCATCCATATTGGTATTGCATTCTCAATTGCAAAATGATATGACATAGGTGTTTGCAATTACAAAACCAATTGCATTGATGTGGCTACCAATTGCATACTTGCAACAAATGCAATTGCATATGCAAGTCAAAAAAGCCTAAAAAAATGGAGACTTTTTATTTTATATTATTTTCTTTTCTCTTTTACTTAATTTTCAATAATCTAAATATAATATTTAATTACATTTGCAATTGCAAGTTAATTTCATTGATGTAGGTGAATGAAATTAATGTGATGTGGATTGTAAAAAATTTGAGTTGACAATAAAAAACACAAATACAAAATTTTTTTTGCAATTGCATTGATAGAGATGCTCTAAGAAGATACAAAAACCAGTTATGTACCGTTTTGTATAAAAAACAGCCAACTCAATCTTAGTCTGAAAAAGCAGTCACTCTAGTGTTTGAATCAGAGGGGAACAAGTTCATATAACATGGGTAGTTTTAAGGTATAGAAGGAGGCGATGGGTGGCATGTTTGTGAGCAGTAGTTGCGGAATTAACATACCGACTGAATTGATTTATAGTATAGTCTGAAATCGTACCTTTACAAATGTTCACAAAGTGTAGTGAAAGACATCTTTTTGTGATATTGATATCAGATTGAGTGTTGTTGAGATATTGATATCATCCTATGAGAGTTTCGATGTTGTGGGCTGCATAACCTCCTTCATGACTAGAGAGATGTTTGGTAGAGTAGGAGTGAGGCTAGGAAGCCAGTGTCTAAAAGGATGTCTAGTGTATATTTTCTTTGACAAAAATGAATATCATTAGCAGTAGTCCTAGAAAGTAGAATCTACCATGGCAAGGAAGTATTTTAGTTGTCCCATGTCTTCGATGGTGAAAGTAGTATCAAAATTTTGCTCGACCAATTTCGAGTTACCTATCAAATTGAACCATTAAAGGTTTAATTGCAAGTTTGGTCACCTGAATTGCTTAAAATTTTCACGTTTGCCACTCAAATTGATTTATTCCATTTATAGTCACTCGAATTAGTTGAACAGTCCAAGTTCGGTCACTCTCCGTTAACCTCCGTTAGACTCCGTTAATGACGACCGTTAAGTGATAACGTGGCTAACAGAATGACACAGTCAGCACATTAAACATTAAAAAACGACGACCCGACCCGACCCGCCAGCTTAGCCTTACCCGCCCTATCAGCCATTCTTGCCCAACCCGCGAACCAACCCAATTAATTGACCCTAAACCCAAACCCGAGACCCATTCCCAATTCTTATATCTACCTCCTTGTTCCCATCGTCTCCAGCTCCTCTGCACTTTACTCCTTTCCCTCCCATGGCTTCTTGTTGACTTCCGCCTCACCTTATTCTCCTTCATCTTCTCCATCCGGTTCCACTCAATTCTCTCCCCGATCGCTCCGAATCCGAAGAAAATCGAAGGAGGAAAACAACAAATGGCGGTTGACCTAATGAGTTTCAGGAAGGTCGCCGATCAGATTGCGATCCAAGAAGCAACCGCTCAAGGCCTGCAGAGCATGGAGCACCTGATCCGCGTCATGTCTCGTCACCAACAGCAGTCCAATAGCCACACAACCGCCGCCGAATGTACGGATCTCACGGAAGTCACCGTCTCCAGGTTCAAGAAGGTCATCTCCCTCCTCAACCGCACCGGCCACGCCCGCTTCCGCCGCGCTCCCCTCCACCCTAATTCCTCCTCTTCCTCCTCCTCCTCCGCCCCCGCTGCCGCCGGATCGCCGCCGCTTTCGTCGTCCACGGCGCCTTCTCCACCTCAATCGATCGCGGGTTTGGGTTTAGGGTCAATTAATTGGGTTGGTTCGCGGGTTGGGCAAGAATGGCTGACAGGGCGGGTAAGGCTGAGCTGGCGAGTCGGGTCGTCGTTTTTTAATGTTTAAATGTGCTGATTGTGTCATTCTGTTAGCCACGTCATCACTTAACGGTCGTCATTAACGGAGTCTAACGGAGGTTAACGGAGAATGACCGAACTTGGACTGTTCAACTAATTCGAGTGACTATAAATGAAATAAATCAATTTGAGTGGCAAACGTGAAATTTTTAAGCAATTCGGATGACCAAACTTGCAATTAAGCCAACCATTAAATATATGGTTGTGACTTTTAGAAGTAGCTGGGACATGCTGTACCGCTTTAAGTTCACTAGAATTTTCCTTCGACATTATTCAGTTCACCAGATGATGAGTGTTTTGTGTACTACGCAGCTGCAGTCCCCTTAAAGACAAGAAAAGGGAAACATCCAATTCTTCAGAAAGAAAAATATCCATAGTACATACATGACTAACCTTAGCTTAGGTTTTACACCAGAAGAACTAACTTAGGTTCACAGAGCATTTCCTTGAATTTGTAACTAGAAGGCCACACATGACAAAAAGCCGTTTGGGTTTTTCCAGGGTGACCCACATAAACAATTTGTAATTTGAGCCATAGCAGCCAGCTTGTAGAGAAAAATCAGAGCGAAAAGACTTCTTTGTTGGCTTTGTTTTAGTGTGAGGTATTGTCAGTTTAGTATCTGATTAAACGATACCGTAATAATGGAAAAAGACACCATCGCCAGTCGCTTTGGCCGAGTGGTTAAGGCGTGTGCCTGCTAAGTACATGGGGTTTCCCCGCGAGAGTTCGAATCTCTCAGGCGACGAATGATAAATTTTTTTCCCCATATGAAGAGGAAATGATCAGTAAAGTAATTTAGCCATTTCAGTGGTTTTTGGACCCTTCTGCCAAGCATCCATTACAGCATTTGCAAAATTACCAAGCAGCACCGTGTTGGATTGGCAATGATCCCAACATGAGCAGTTCCATTTTATCCCGCCGGTGGCCCTGTTCGGTTTGGCAATGGCATAGAATAATAATAATGGGTGATGAATAGAGTTCTACCACCTTTGTCAACCTGTGCTGGATTTGGATAAGAGCAGACAGAAAGCTATTACTCAGTGCAGAAAAGTTGGTCGGTCTCAGTTATGCCTAGCGTCAAGATTTCATTTCCAAACCTAACTACATAAATTGTCCACATTCAGCCACCTTGCAGCAAAGGACCACTTCAAGTTGCTGCACATTTACATTCATGAGCTTCCTGCCCATTTCTTTTGAGACCACTTAACCTCTCTCTATTCACATGTTATGGCTAGGATAGGAGGTAGTAGCCATTGTAATCTCCCTAATCAATCACAAAGCTTGCTGATCTGCCTGCTGCCTGGAAAAACCCAGGTAAAGCTTAGGGTAAATGCTGAAATTAAACGCGACCTCTTAGCTGGATGATTCTGTGACTTTCTTAGGCATAAAAGAATTTGGGGAACTAACCAGCGAAGGGTGTTTTAGAGTGGAAATGTTGCAGGTATTGGTTTCATAGTCGCAAGAGAGCAGCAGCCTCACATGTGGAATGCTCTTCCAACTCTCTCCCAGAGCCGGTTTAGGGTTCCCCCGCTCTCCACCTACCATATGATTGGTCACCTTTCAAAACACAAATAATAGCATATCGTTAAGTCATTGGGAAAAAAAGGACTAATCCAGTTGTCAATCAAATCTGAACTCTTGGAAGTAAACTCAAAAGTATCTGCTAATGAACCTGTTCTAACCACAAACAGAACAAGGCAATCCCATACTAACTAACCAGGATTGCAATATCGTGCTCGTGTGCTAACTTCTTCAGCAAAACTCCCAGAGATGTCATCAAAGAATATCCTGTCATAACCAATACGTGCAAGGAACGAGCTTTAGAATAATCAATTTGAAGAAAGAAAAAGACCTAACAAGGTTTAGAAGGGCTGAAAAATTCCATACAAATACATGATATATCATATACCCTGCGAACTGCCGCCTCCAAGGACTGGGGTGATCAACGAGGAGACGGAATCAATTATTAGTAACTGAACTTTACAGCCTTCCCCGTATTCCTAAACAAGCACGAAAAGCTATTCAGCAGCAGGCAACAAAGTGTAATAGAATGTGACATTGCATTTGCAAGTATCATTATGAAAGCAAACCTGTGATCCCAATACGAACTCCAACTGGTGTAGCACATTAAACAGCAAATTGATATCGAATACTGAGTGGCGCAATATTCTGCTCATTACTCTTTGTACAATGCCAGTATCGTCCTGTTTCGAGGGAGGACCGCCGTTCTCACAAAGGAAGTGATGTATACGCCTGCTTGAAAAGGAGTTCCCTGTATCTACATACACCACACTGCCCCTATCCATCTTGGCAACACTTGAAGCAAGCCTTAGACAAAGCTAAACAACGAATTACACTTCAAATCCAGATTTCGGGATGAAGGATCAACTTTGATGGAATTCAATACTAAATTACCTACTTGGGTTTTGCCAGATGAGGACGGCCCTGCCAATTCGGTCAATTGCCCCACCCGCAATCCACCATGGAGAAACGAATCGACCCTGAATATTTCGATTTCACAATCAGGCAAACAGAAATTATACAAACGCAGAAAGGGGTTTTGCAACGGAAGAAGTGAAATTACGCTGCGATTCCAGTTGAGAGAACGCGTTTGTTATCCATGGCATCTTGCAGCAGCTCCAGGCCGTCTAACCATGGCTGGTGCAGCGTATCTACGATCGAAAGGACCTGGCTGATGCCCTGATTGCACGAATTGAAAATTACCACCAGCAATCTAAATTTACGCGAGTGAAGAGATAGGGTGCAGAGAGGTATCTGACCTCTTTTAATCGCAGGGACGCCGGCTGGCTCTCGGCGGCTGCGGCCAGTGAGTGGAGGTCGTGCGTAAGGAAATCCGCAATTGTGAGAATACCGTGTGAAGCGCAGAAGGACTGGAAGTTGATGTCCAGAAGTGGGAACTCCTGTTCCAGGGATTTCAAGGCTGTCATTGCTTTTTCCCCTTCTATCGGCGCCGTCGCCGTGGAAACTGGAAACGAGTTTGGTGCCCGCCGGCCGGGTCGCGTGGGTAAAATTCGACAGATCAAAGCAGGGGAGAGAAAGACAGACGGTTTATGGCTGACGAAAAGGGCTTCGGATCCGGTCCAGCTATCTGGGCTTTGTTCGAACTTCCCATTTTGGGCTTTTAAGAGTCCGGGTCATCACAGTGCTAAGAGGTTGTTTGGAGGTTAGTATTCTAAAATCTTAATGTTGTATTAACTAATTCAAGTATTAGGTACATAATATGTAGAAAACGATAATCAAAAGAGCACGAGACAACGATTTTACGTGGTTTTCTCGTTCGATTTGAACGCGACTACTCCACGGAGAACTCACGTTCTCAGGATTTTCTTATTGATTATGATTACAGTGCTTAGGGTTCGGCTAATGCTAAAACCCTTAAATAGAAACAACCATCTTCTCACAACAGGTAACGTGAGGATTGGCAAATATCATTACGACCCCTAAACTTATCCCAAACAGCAAATAAGTAAGGAATCGTAATACTCCCCCTCAAGCGAAGGAATGAATGTCAAGCTGACCGAGCTTGACCAGAAGATGACGGAACTGATCGACGCTCAATCCCTTAGTGAATAGGTCAGCTGGCTGCTCAGTGGTGGCGATCTTAAGTGGTAAAACATCATGGGATTGGACACGCTCCCGGACAAAGTAACAGTCCATCTCCACATGTTTGGTGGTGGCGATCTTAAGTGGTAAAACATCACGGGATTGGACACGCTCCCGGACAAAGTAACAGTCCATCTCCACATGTTTGGTGCGCTCGTGGAAAACCGGATTAGCTGCGATGTGTACCGCAGCCTGATTATCACAATAAACCGGAGTAGGACCAGTGGGACGAACAACCAAATCACAAAGAAGCCAACAAAGCCAAAGAACTTCACTAACAGTGTTAGCCATTGCTCGATATTCCGCCTCAACAGATGAACGAGCAACAACCGATTGCTTCTTTGTACGCCAAGAAATCGGGGATGAACCCAAAGTGATGAAATAGCCGGTAGTAGAACACCAAGTAGTTGGACACCCAGCCCAGTCAGCATCACAGTATGCTGTAAGAGAGAGAGTACCGGACGAAGGAATGAATAAGCCGCGGCCAGGAGATGATTTCAAATACTGTAGAATACGAGGTGCAACGTCGATATGGGCTTGAGTAGGAGAATGAACAGCCTGGCTCAACAATTTCACGACATAGGTGATATCAGGTCTAGTCACTGTAATATAAAGGAGACGACCATCCAGACGACGAAAAGCTGTAGGATCAGCAGCAGGGGAAGAAGGATCTCGACCTAAATGATGGCTCTGTTCAATAGGAGTAGGACTCGGCTTGCATGTCGTGACACCAGCCTCGCTAAGAATGTCGAGTACGTATTTCCGTTGATTCAGGACAAGACCCTTGGGAGAACGAGCGGCTTCGATGCCCAGGAAATACTTCAGATCGCCCAAATCTTTGACAGTGAAGCGAGCGTGAAGAAAATCCTTCACCTTCTGGATAAAAGACATATCGTTACCAGTCAAAATAACGTCATCGACGTAGATGAGTGATGTCACAAAAGTAGACCCCTTTCGGTAAGTGAACAAGGAATGATCCGCCCGACTCTGCGAAAAACCCAAGGTCAAAAGTGATTGAGTAAACTTGTGATACCAGTTGCGTGAAGCCTGACGAAGCCCATAGATAGACTTACGAAGGCGACAAACACGAGTATCGCCAGGTTGCGAAAAACCTTGAGGAATCCGCATATACACTTCTTCAGTCAAATCACTGTGAAGAAATGCATTATTTACGTCGGGCTGCTGAATAAACCAACCGTGATGAGTAACAACTGCAAGAAGACAACGCACAGTAACCAACTTGGCAACCGGGGCAAAGGTATCGTGATAATCAATACCTTCGATCTGGTGAATCCCTTAGCCACCAACCGAGCTTTATAACGCTCAACCGAACCATCAGGAAGAAACTTAACCTTATAAACCCATTTACAATTGATGGTGCGTTTACCGGGTGGCAAATAGCATAGCTCCCAAGTGCCATTAGCAACAAGGGCGATAATTTCAGCCTTCATGGCGGCGCGCCAATGCGCATGGCGGACAGCCTGATGATAATACCTAGGCTCGTCAACGGAAGAGACAGCAGTAACAAAAGCATGGTAAGACCGAGACAAGCGACTATAGTCAAGGTGATGTTCCATCGGATAGGCCACCTCGGCAGCATTAGCAAAATGAGGTAAATCCACGTCATAACCAGCAAGCCTCGTGGAAGACCGAAGATTACGATCATCGCGGCGAGGAAGTAGCAGCAAGTGTAGGCCTTGATGAAGGTAAACGAGGCGAGGCTGGAGTGGGAGTAAGCCTCGGTGATGAAGGTGGCAAAGTGGAAATCGGATCAGAGTCATCAAGCAAAGGAGCCGTAGGAACCGGCAGCACGGGAGGAGCAAGCCCTGGGCCAAGTGGATCATGGGCACAAGGAGAAGCCGAGAGTTGATATGGAAAGATGTGTTCCAGGAATTTCACATCTCGTGAAGTGTAAATATTCTTATGCTCCAAGTCAAATATGTGATAGCCACGCTGGGTAGCAGGATACCCAACAAAAATGCCAGCCCGACCGCGTGCACTGAACTTGTCTAGACCGTGACGATTATCATGAGCATAGACTAAACATCCAAAGCTCCGCAAATGTATGTAGGAAGGATCCTTGCCAAAAATAATCTGGTAAGGGGATCGGTTGCCAATAGGAGAAAGCGACAAGCGATTAAGAAGATACGCAGCAGTAAGAACGCACTCACCCCAAAATTCAACCGGGAGATTAGCATGAAAATGTAATTCACGGGCCGTATCCAAGAGATGGCGGTGCTTACGCTCGACAACTCCGTTTTGTTGTGGAGTATCCGTACAAGAAGTCTGTAGAATGATACCAGACCTATCATAAATATCTCGCAACGAATGGGTAGCGAATTTAGGACCGTTATCTGCCTGTATACGACGGACCTGTTTATTGAACTGGGTGACCACCATCTGACAGAAGAGAAGTAAATAACAAGCAACTTCCGAATTAAATTTCAGCAAATAGACCCAAACTGCACGACTATGATCATCCACAATTGTCAAAAAGTAGCGCCCCCAGTAAAAGAATGAGTCGAATAACCTCCCCAAATGTCAACATGTAGCAGCTCAAAACAATCCTTAGTAGTAATCGAACTAGAAACAAAGGGATCACGAGTATGCTTGGCACGAAAAGAGGAAAGACAAGAATGCTTCTGCTGAACTATAGGACTCGATATGAACCATTGTAGCAGTGACAGCTTTGCCAGGGACGGGTGACCAAGCCGCGCATGCCACAACATCAAACTGTCTGCGGCTTGACGAACAAAATGAGCTACCAGATGCCGCTCATCGAACAACACAGAAGTCCTTTAAGAAAATTAGAGCAACCGGGAGATCAGCCGTGAGACGAATGACAGAGAGTAAATTACACTGGGAATTCGGAACATATAACACCCGTCTTAAAACAAGATCATCAGATAACTGCATATAACCAATCCGACGAACGGGTACTCCAGTACCATGTGGAATACGAACATGTAAAGCTGGCGGACTCTCCAGCTCATTGAATAACAAAGACTTATCATTAACTATGTGTTCATTGCAGCCCGAGTCAATAACCCAGGATGAATGAGAAGGAAGATTAGTACCTGCCATGTTTGAAGTTGGATCCAACAAGGCGTGAGTGGAAGGATGAATATCATCCCCAAGAAGTTGCTTTAATTGGGCGAATTGTGCTGGAGATAGCCCTGGGAAAGGGCTCGGCTCAACATCAACAGTAGCAGCTTGTGGATTGGAGCGCTGGCCGCGATCTGAAGACTCCCCGCGACGGCGCGTAGGTGCATCATTGCTGCTGGAATTACGTGTAGGATATCCATGCAACTTATAACATGTTGCCTTGAAATGCCCAATTTTGTGGCAATGAGTACATATAGGGCGGCCCTCAGCATCACGTGGGTGATCAGAATCACGCTCCCCCTGGCGAGCTGACTGCTTCTTCTCACCTTGCGCTTGAAACACAGCTGCTTCAATGCGAGGACGCCGATTACTAGAGATATGGCGCTGCTGTTCATCGCTCATGATCAAATGGTAAGCATCGGCCAAGGTGGGAATGGGTTTCATGGCTAGGATTTGGGTCTTCACGGTACCAAAAGCGTCATCGAGACCCATGAGGAAATCAAAAAGGCGCTCGCTTTCTTTAGCTTCTCGTTGCCTGCGGTTGACATTACATGTACAGCCACCACAGGTACATTCTATGGAAGGAGCAAGGGAACCCATTTCATCCCACAAACCTCGGAGTTTGGTGTAGAAAGATGCGACCGAAGTCTTCTTTTGTTGGAGTTGAAGAATAGTGCTACGCAGCTCGTACATTCTAGGTGCACTTCCGTGACCAAAATGAGATTGGATGTCGATCCAAATCTCCCGAGCAGTAGTGGCGAAACGTACGCTGCTGCGTACATCCTTTGACATGGCGGTCTTAAGCCAACCTTTAGCCATCGCATCAGCCTGCTTCCAGGCATCATAATCCTCGCCCCCACCGGCCGGAGCAGAGATGGATCCATCGACGAAGCCAAGTTTATTCTAGGCGATGAGAGAGTCCGAGATATCGCCAACCCACTCGCCGTAATTTGTCTCCGTGAGGAGTTCGCCGATAAAGAGTTGGCTGGGGCTATCGGAATTGTGAATTAGGAACGGTGAGGGGCGTTGAATCAATCTGCTGGATGTGGCACCGCTAGGGCTGCAAACGAGCCGAGTCGAGCCGAGTTTTTGCTCAGCTTGAGCTCGGCTCCTTTATAAATTTTTCAGCTCGAGCTCGGCTCGAACTCGGATTTTGATCATCCAGCTCGAGCTCGAGCTCGACTCGATTAAAAATAATCCAGCTCGAGCTCGGCTCGGTAGAGCTCGATAAATGCTCATTAACACAGCTTGTCAAGCTGAGTACAAGCTCGACTCAAGATGAGCTTGATTTGAAACCATTCTTTGCTGAAAAATGTGTACAAATAGAAATATTAGAAACTAAAAATGATAAAAACAACACTAGAAACTAAAAATAACATCTAACTTCCTTACACATCCTTATTAACTTGATAATTTTCATGTTCAAAAGAGTAATTAATCCTTCCACAAGCTATAAACAAGCTAACTCGCAAGCTTAGCTCAACAAGCCACCGAGTCAAGCTAGCTCACGAGCTTATCAAGCTGAGAATGGTCTAGCTTAAACTTTGCTCGTTTACTAACGAGTCGGCTCGCGAGCCGGCTTGTTAAACAACGAGTCGAGTGTCGAACGAGTTTTTTCCGATTCGAATGCCGAGTTGCTCGCGAGTGGCTTGGCTCATTTGCAGCCCTAGGCACCGCTCTTAGCCGTGCTCTTTTCAGCTTGTGTCGCCCATCTTCAAGAAGGAGAAGAATAACGACTGTGGAATCATTCACAGCTCTGATACCATGTAGAAAACGATAATCAAAAGAACACGAGACAACGATTTTACGTGGTTTCCTCGTTCGATTTGAACGAGACTACTCCACGGAGAACTCACGTTCTCAGGATTTTCTTATTGACTATGATTACAGTGCTTAGGGTTCGGCTAATGCTAAAACCCTTAAATAGAAACAACTATCCTCTCACAACAGGTAACGTGAGGATTGGCAAATATCATTACGACCCCTAAACTTATCCCAAACAGCAAATAAGTAAGGAATCGTAATATAATCAACTCAATTTAAAAAATTACACCTTCCAAACGTGACCTAAGATAACTGCGAATTGAGGTGTAAATGGAGATAAATTCCCTTTTTTCCTTTGGTAGATAAATATATTGCCGTTGGCACGTGCGGTAAACATAAATTAACAGGATAATATAGAGAATCCACAACCGAAATTCCAATAATATTCACAATCACAAACCGAAATTCGATGACGGTAGCAAAAGGAGAAAAGGAAAGCGACATAAAAAATAGGAAAAGCCTAACATTTACTAATGAAAATATAAACAACTACAAGAGAATATTAGAGAGGGAAAAACACAAGAGAAGAGAGGGGAAGAGTTCTTCTTATTCATTCTCTCTTTTGATACAATGGTGTGCTTTATTTATAGGCACACCTTGGTAACCAATACATCTTTATATCAATGAGAGATAATGAAACATAAAGAAGCTATCAAATGTAGGAATGGGGTTACATGTAACTCCCAAGTGAGCATCTAATGTGGTAATGGCAATGATCATCCATATATCAATATTTACATAATACTCCCCCTTGGATGACCACTAGATTGCATTACGCTATCTCATACTGCCTCGTTAAAAACCTTACCAGGGAAACCCAGTGGGAAAAACCATGGCGAAGGGAAAAAGAGTGCAGTGCGTATATGCTCCCCCTCATGACCACATCATTTCAAATCTTTGAGTCGTTGAACTCAAATTTCACAAACAACTTTTTGAAAGATTGTTGTCGGTAGTTACTTAGTGAACAATCTTCTAGATTGTCAATCTTATGCATGATCTTTAGATTTTCTTTATACATGATCGTCAGGATCATTTCCTTTAGAAATAGTTTACAACCACAAGTCCTTTAGATATGGTGAATCACAAAGTGTAACAAAATACATTCAGGACTTGCCTACTATAGTTTGTTGTGGATATCTATGAAACAATCACATCGCCATATGTAAGAGATAGCTCATCTCTGATCAACCAATATGAGTGGATATATAGTTCACCAAATCTCTCTTTGATAGTACCATAATAGAACAATCGCATATATTGTTCGTGAAGGTAACAAAGTATTTCCAATGTTCCATTGAGGGAAACATTGTATTTTGCTAATATTATCAACACCAAAATGATAGTTTATATGGTGTTTGGCTAGCAATGTGAATTGGTGCTTTGATGCATCAACATATGGTACTTCAGGACCTAGTACATCAACATAAAGTACTTCGGGACCTAATGTCTCACTTCTTTCTTGATGTCTAAATGGATCTTTGGTCACTTCTAGTGATCTTAGGATCCTAATGTTATTTGATGAACATAATTTGTTCATGCAAAATTACTTTTCCACTTTTTCAACATTACCTTCCTTTCCCATAAAAAGAATCTTAAATCCTTCAATTTAACTTGTGTCTCTAGCAATCAACTGCTTTAGGAAGCTCTTCAGGAGCTCCAATAATAGACATATCATCAACATAATATGAGATCGTCACAAATAAACTTGACTAAAACACATTGAAGCAAGCAATTCTTTCATATCACGAAAGATATTAACAAAACACACATCATAGAAACATATGAACTAGACGAAGCACACTCATAAAACACAACTCATACTTTAAAGTAAATCACAACTCATAAATCAAGAATTTAAAATTCTTGAAGCACATACAGACAACACAACTATATATGCACAATGCAAATGCTCTAATGACTCTATCCGGATTTAACCTTTTAAGGTCCATTCACCCTACTGTTGTAGGTGTTCACTTAGACGAGTATTTCACATTCGTCTATATTTTCTCAACCCACACAAGAGATTTTCTTAGTCTATCGATATATGTTCTCGAGAACTTTACTTGTTTACTTCAGGTAAATTAATCCTTCTAGGAGTAACTAATCCTTCTGGGAGTTTCAAATATATATAACATCTTCAGGGAATTCAAACAAATAGGCTATCACAACAATTTTCAAACATTGATTTGAAAAAGTAGTTGCATCCACCACAGGGGAGTATAACTCCTCTTAAACAATGATAGGTCTCTTCGAGAAACCCATTGCAAAACATTATGTGATATCTCTCACAATTTCATACTTTCCAATAGCACAAAAATATGTTTGTATCCCGCTAGTTTTGCCCTTTTTTGGGTGCAAGGACTTCTGGTCCTTAAACTTTATGCTCCTTAAGCAAGTTTCATGATTTCTTTCTATATTGGCAAATAACATCATCATTTGCATGTATCAATAGAGTTTTACTCTTGATCCTCACATTGTACATATCATATTCAGTACTGAAGTACAACAAACAAATTTCATCGACAATGATTTCATTACAGTTCCAGTATTGTAGTCTAATATGGTTTTGAGATCTCTTCGCTTTCACAACTTTCGGAGACATGTGTTCTTCTTGAACTAAAATTATATTTTATTCTTGGTTACTCTTCTTGAGTTTTCATGTCCTCGAGTTGACCATTCTAATTACAACTCCTTTTCTTTCTCGAGGATGTTTATAATTGGAACCGATTGGTCTATCACGCTTCATGCGCTCTTTCATACACATTTTTTATATTAGAGTATCCAACAAGGATATCAAATTTAGTTGGAGCATTCACAGCTAGTATATGTGACCAGTAAAGGCATTTGATAGTTGGTAATGATAATTCATCTTATGAACTTCAGGTTCATGTTTCTTAATTTGAGGATCAAAACTAGATATAATGATAACTCATTCCAACTCATCTTTTTGTCTAGCTGTTTTTTTTTCTCTCCCCCTTAATGTTGGAAAAGTAATCCATCAAAACAATAATTTCGCAAACAAATTTCCCATTCGGGATTCATACCCAACACAAATTCACAATTTCCAACGAGAATCAACTTAAGATACTGTGGTGGAGCAATTGGGATGTATGCGGCACACCCTGGTAGTCTCATATGAGAAATGTTAGGTTTCTGACAAAAACCATTTGTAAAAGGGGGGAACTTATGATAACTTGTTGGTTAGATGTGAACCAATACTATCACTTATCAACTAGCATGTCCTCGACAAGAGACCAGAAGGCTCGGCTTGTTCTATTAAGCAAAGTGATGTTTGATTGGATAACCATCAAAATGTATCCATAGTGAGACAACCAATCTCGCAAACATCGGGTTGCGATTAGATAAAATACATTTGATGCAGCAACCCATAAAATTCACAAATGATCCACATAACTGATGTATTGTTCTGCATACACGTCCATAAAATCTCAAGAGATTTGTCAACTCTTATACAAGCGATGATCAATTGTTCTATTCTCCTTGAGAACAAACATGACATAATAACTCTTTTATTTGAAGAGTTCTTTGACTTCTCATATGATGTTCTCATGAATTCTCAAAGAACTTTTTTCACATCAAGATCCGGGATGGTCTAACCGGACCAACCAATTATCAAGTTATCAAATTTTGTAAACTTCTGGTTTACACTTTTATGTGTACTGATTGTACTAATATACATGTAGTAAATATTTGTGATGCAAATATTAGTTTCACTATTTTCTTGATAAGATATTCATTTTACGAATATCATTTTAATTGGGTAATGCATCATCAGTAGGTAGTTTGGTTCCTTCAGGCCACAAAATTAGCTCCCTTTAAAGCTTTATCATATTTTGTACCATATTCCACCCTTCCGGGGACTTATGATTTGATGTATTCTTAGTAAACACAAATTCATAGTGAATATCATCACAAATTGTTATCACGAGTACATAATTTAGTTACTTCAAGTAACCAAACATAAGCTCATCGAAAGCTTTTTCTCATTTATGTACTCTACCATATAGTTTATATGTAATTTTTCTAACAATCATACTTTACAAAAACATACTAAAATAATAAATGAGAATATTTCAAACTTAAGACAAAAATGATAAACTTATCAAGTTAATTTCTCTAGATAAAGGTTATCAAATTAAATTATGCATGAAAAATAACGTCACAATAAAACATAAAAGAAATAAGAACCATAATACTACAATTGTGAAAATTAAATAAGCTTTATTTGGAGCAATACCATCACGAACTAGGTGATTTTAAATTTATATATGCATTTCATTATGCATTTCAATGTTATCCACTTCTGGGGAATATATCGGCTCTTGGAACTTGCATTTTCTATATATCAATGTATGATTGATAAGAATAGGATAACACGAAGAACTGATAAATTAACTCATCACTTATATTACTTTTCTTGTTAATCCAAATAGATCGACGTGATAAAATATCAATGGATATGAGAAGTAGCACCCATCTTGATATATTGGAATGAGATAATCTCAACACAAATAAGACAATAAGATAAGAAAGGATCTAAGATTTACATACCTTGATTATATTATGATCTTACTCCAATATCTTAGATTATGTCGAGAGTCTTTGAAGCTTGAGCAATGATAATTTTGGCAGAGCTTTGTGCTGATAATGTGTTATGAAACTAATGAAAATATAAACAACTACAAGAGAAGATTAGAGAGGGAAAAACACAAGAGAAGAGAGGGGAAGAGTTCTTCTTATTCATTCTCTCTTTTGATACAATGGTGTGCTTTATTTATAGGCACACTTTGGTAACCACTACATCTTTATATCAATGAGAGATAATGAAACATAAAGGAGCTATCAAATGTAGGAATGTGGTTACATATAACTCCCAAGTGAGCATCTAATGTGGTAATGACAATGGTCATCCATATATCAATATTTACGTAATATGATTCCTATTATCTTTTTATTGAGAACGATTGATCGACATAAACTGTTCAGCAGGTCACTCTCTGGTGGATACTGCTCGCAAAAGCTCACTTGGATGGTGGGAAGAAAATCACATCGGAAGTCCTAGTTCCCCTCAACTTCTTCTCAACCTCCGACGACACCTTGAAAGAGGCCTCCAGCACCGCCGGCGATAGTGCCTTCCACACCGACGTCCTTCCAGCCAAGTGGGTGAAGACCGGGCTGCGACAATATAATCAACAAGAAATTAGAACCCACTTGAAATTTCCAGGCACTGAATCATCCAAATTCATTCAAGAATTGAAAAGGGGAGACATGAAGAACTTACTATGGAGTGGTGATGATTGAGAACCAAGACATTCCATCAGGATCACAGATCTTCGAAACGACGAAGAACCTGGGCACGATGAACAATTGCCCAGCCTTAACGGTAGTCTCCAACACCCTCTTGCCATCCACGCCCACAACCTGGACCCTGCCACTTCCACTCACAATGTAAGTCACCTGCAGCGCAGAGTCGCAGGAGAAACCAGGGGAGCACATTGCGCCGTCATCCAGCTTCACGAGATCGGCTCCCAGCCCAATCTCGGCGACCAAGGGGAGGTTCTTGGTGTTCAGCACCACCACCCTTCCTCCATTCTTGATGTCAACATCAAGAGGAGCTTCCTCGCAGTTGTAGACCAATCGATCGCGATCCTCCTTCTTCGGTTCGGGGAGCTTGATTGAGCCATCGACCTTGACGATTCCTTCCCCCGATTGGGATCCGACGAGGGCTTTGACGGTGGCCTCGTCGACGTCCCAAGCCCGTGAGACGAACTCGCTGGAGAAGCCCGTGAAGATGCCATTGGTTCCCGTGAGGTAGAAATAGGTGAAGGAACCTGCATTGTGGCCCTTCGAGGTGTCGCCAAGGAAGAGGATGATCAGTTCCGTGTCTTCCTTGTTGTACCACCAGGTCACGACGCCGAAGGGGAGCACGATGGCGTCGCCCTTCCTGAGCCCGATCACCTTCTCGTCCTTCTCCGGGAGAACAACTCCGGCTACTCCGTTGCCTGTAATTGAAACGACACCAACGGCCAAACAATCTCAGCTAAGGATAGAAATAAACACAATCATTCCCAAATTCCAATCCCTAAAAAAATCCAAATCGAGTATCGGCAGATCAAACGAGACCACGCGATCAGACCATCTCCAACAACAAGACATTTTATCCTTGTTGTTGGAGGCTAAAATGTCAAAATGTGAAAAAAATTCACTCCAACAACAATGCTAAAATGCTTAAAAGCAAAAAAAAAAAAATGTGAATTTTGTGCTAAATTTATCACACAAACAGACAAAAAATGGAAAAATCTCAATCACACTTCCTCTCCTTAGTGGACGCGCCAGGCAGGCCCATTTTCCCTACATGCACCCACCTTCCCTTCCTTTTCTCTCCTAGGGCTAAGATCTGGTAACTAAGGGGTCCCTTAGTCACATGACTAAGCCAATCTTAGCCATTGAACCTCATTAAAATCTAATGGTCCAAATTAATCCAATTTAATGAAGGGCAATATGGTAATTACAATTTTTATTTATGAATTAATTAAAACTAAATAATAAGCGCGTCACTCCTCTGTCAGGAGAGAGAGAGAGAGAGACCGGAGGAAATTTCCCGGCGACAGTGTTGGATATTTTGAGGTTTGCTGACCTATTTTATAATGTTTGTATAGATTCGGTTTGTACTGTTTGTAATTTTTAGGTGACATTTTGTACGGTTAGTATGCTTTGTACTGTTTGTCGGTTTATTTTGTAATGTTTGTACGCTTTGTTATTTTGTAATGTTTGTCGGGTTTTTTTGTAATGTTTGTAAACTTTGTTATTTTTGTGCACCATGTTTATCATTTTTGTCAACCATGTTTGTAATGTTTTTTATGTCTAAAAAACAACCTGGTTGACTTTTGGATGGAACTCCTCTATAGAGGGATGGAGCCTCCAAAGTCAACCCGGGTGTTTTGTCTAGTTCGTATGGATTGTCGGTCTAGTTTGTCATTTTTGTCCACCATGTTCGTAATGTTTGTATGTCTAAAAAATAACCGGGTTGACTTTGAGACGGAGCCCTCTATATAGGGATGAAGCTTCCAAAGTCAACCCGGGTGTTTTTCCAGTTTGTATGAATTTTTGGTCTAGTTTGTCATTTTTGTCCACCATGTTTGTATGTCTAAAAAACACCCGGGTTGACTTTGGGAAGGAGCCCCTCTATATAGGGATGGATCCTCCAAAGTCAACCCGGTTGTTTTTTGTTTTTTTGTATGGTTTGTATTGTTTGTCGGTCTAGTTTGTATTGTTTGTACAGTTCATACAAACCATCAGATTGCTATATCCAGATCTAAGGGCTGGGAAGGGCTTAGTCAAGTGACTAAGCACCCCCTAGTCACCGGATCCTCTCTCCTTTTTCTAGCAGGCTAGCACGAGCCTCACGCCCCTCATCCCATAATTAAAATAAAATCAATCAAAATTAACATATTTTTAATAAGTTACTTGTATTATACGTTATTGTTTCCATCTGCGGTCTTAATCCACCAATTATTGTATTTTTGTCATTAATGATGTCATATTTAATGCATATTTTTTTGTCAAAATTAATAAAAAAATTACATCCAAACGTTTGTTCTAATTAATTATTATTATTATTATTATCTGTATACAAAGAATTTACAAATTATCTAATTAAAATGACGAAATCTATACTAATCTAGATTATCACAAAGATAGAAAGGTTTAGCATTTTAGCATTGCTTGTTGAAACAAACCCTACTTTTGAGGTGCCAAAATGCTGAAATCCTTTAGCATTCTAGCATTTTTTTCAATTTTTTGTTGGAGATGGTCTCAAGAAAAGAAAAATACAACGATTAGTCGATATATACTGATTCAGATAAATCGAAATTCAGAACAAATAAACTCGAGATCTGAAGAAGGAGCGGAACGGAAGTAAGGGGAAACCGACCTTGAAGGACATAGGCGACCTTGGCGGAATCGGAGTAGTGAGGGAGAGCAAGGCCGTTCTTCTTGAGGCCGAGCTTGGCGGCACCGATGTTGCCGCGCTTGAGCATGACGAGGTCGTCGGGGCACCAGGCCTGGTAGGAGCCGCCGTCGCCTTCGATGACATTCTTGGGGAGCTTAGGGGTCAGATCGACATCCATGGTGGTAGAAAAAACCGCTGTGGGGAGTGAGTGAATGAGAGATGGCCGCAAGATCCCGATTATATATAGTGAGGCTGTACAGTGGAGGGAGAAAGGGAGAGAGAAGTAAGCGGATAACGTACGACTGGATGGATTCGAGAGTTTTTCTTTGGATAGAATGTGATATCAACATAACCTTGCGTCGCGTGCATGCCTTCCCTGTCTTCTTAAACAAACACAAAAGGCTCTTCAGCAAGTGTCATTATATATGAAAGCAAACCTGTGATGCCAATCTGAACTCCAACTGGTGTAACGCAATATTCTGGTCATTACTCTTCGTACAATGCCAAAGCTTTCCTGATTGGAGGGAGAACCAGAGGAAATGGCGTATACGTTTGCTTGAAAAGGAGGCTGTGGAAAGGTGTGTGTGATGTGATGTATTAGTGGGCCGATGAGGTGGAGGTGGCCGATGATGGGGAGGGCTATGGGCCCGGGAGGGAGCTTTCCGGAGGCCCATTTGGCTCGGGCGAAGAAGGCGAGGAGGAGCTCGACGATCATGGTGGCTGGCGGGTGGTGGAATTGAAACTTTTTGGAGGGACTTAATGGAAATTTTATAGTTCTTGGGTGGGAGTGGGACTAATGTGTGGGAACTGAACGGGGAGCACGGTGGGAGGGGGACTAGCTATGCTAACAACACCCTATTTGTTGTTATGGTAACAACATAAGAATCGAGCCAATAGAAACTCAAAGTTGTGCTTACTTTTTAATAAATTAAGTTGACCCGTGTAAAATTAAAAAAGGACATGATGGTCATTATGAAAATATGACCGACGCCTTTTCCGATCCTTATAGCCCACGTGCACTGCACGCCATTCAAATGAACATTTATTATTTTAAACTCCCGATTTATTGTCCGCCTTGAAAACGGAAAGCAACCAGGTAAAGGACAAAAAAAGTAACTCATTCCTTTTTTTCTCTAGTAGTCACATGCAAGTTAAATTTCTATAAAAATTGAAGATGAAATGAGTTTGAAAAATAATAAATGTGATTCTCCCATGGAAAATAAATGTGACCAAACCAATCACAATTAATTTTGTGTGTAGTAAAACCCTTTAGCTTTTGCGGCGATACGAACGTATTTAAGTAATTGTCGTTCTATAAGACCATAATGAAAATGCAATTTTTGTTTCTCTTCTAAACGAATACGATATTGAGATTTTTTACCGTAGCGCGGCCGATTTCTAAGATCGCTCCCTGCACGAGAGAGTCTATGTAAATTTACAAATTAGTCTTGACTCCAACTACTAAGTAGGAATACAAGTTTTTTTAAAAGGAATTATCTTGTTTATATCGATGATAATGTCATGACACACATGAAAATGTCGCGCATTATGATATAATGGTCATCAATCGCTAGAGTTTGATTAGTGGTCGAATTTTGTGGTAAGCATTATGAGATTTGTGGTTTGGTTTCCCATCTTTCTGGCCTGCCGTTTGTGGTTTGTTTAATCGTATTTTTGGTTCGCATTAAGAGGTTTATGGTGTGCTTTAGAAATATTCATGGTTTGCTTTGTGCTGTTTTTGGGCTGCTTTAGATTATTTATGGTGTGGTTCAGGAGATTTAAGGTATGCATGATGAGTTTTCTAGTGTGCTTTAAAAATATTTACGATTTGCTTTGTGGTGTTTCTGGTCTACTTTAGGTTATTTGTGGTGTTGTTTAGGAGATTTAAGGTATGCATTATGAGATTTCTGGTGTGCTTTAGAAATATTTGTGGTTTGCTTTGTGGTGTTTCTGGTCTGTTTAAGGAGATTTATGGTCTGCATTAAAAACTTTCTAGTGTGCTTTAGAATATTTATGGTTTGCTTTGTGATGTTTCTGGTATACTTTAGGAGATTTATTGTATGAATTAAAAGATTTTTTATGTGCTTTAGAAATTTTTTGTGGTGTGCTTAGTGACGTTTCTGGTCTTCTTCGTAAGATTTATGGTGTACATTAGGTGGTTTTTTAAAAAAGAATTATCTTGTTCATATCGATGATAATGTCATGACATACATGAAAATGTCGCGCATTATGATATAATGGTCATAAATCGCTGGAGTTTGATTAGTGGTCGAATTTTGTGGTAAGCATTATGAGATTTGTGGTTTGGTTTCCCATCTTTCTGACCTGTCGTTTGTGGTTTGTTTTATCGTATTTTTGGTTCGCATTAAGAGGTTTATGGTGTGCTTTAGAAATATTCATGGTTTGCTTTGTGCTGTTTTTGGGCTGCTTTAGATTATTTATGGTGTGGTTCAGGAGATTTAAGGTATGCATTATGAGTTTTCTAGTGTGTTTTAAAAATATTTACGATTTGCTTTGTGGTGTTTCTGGTCTACTTTAGGTGATGTGTGGTGTTGTTTAGGAGATTTAAGGTATGCATTATGAGATTTCTGGTGTGCTTCAGAAATATTTGTGGTTTTGTAGTGTTTCTGGTCTGTTTAAAGAGATTTATGGTCTGCATAAAAAACTTTCCGGTGTGCTTTAGAATATTTATGGTTTGCTTTGTGATGTTTCTGGTATACTTTAGGAGATTTATTGTATGAATTAATTTTTTTTATGTGCTTTAGAAATTTTTTGTGGTGTGCTTAGTGACGTTTCTGGTCTTTTTCGTAAGATTTATGGTGTACATTAGGTGGTTTTAGGTTTGTTTTAAAACATTTGTGTATGCTTTAAAAACAATAATTCCAATACCCACTATTTCACACCAACCACAAACTGTCACAACCTTCGCCAGAAAGAACATGAAATCATCATCAAGAGATGTCCAACCCCACTCACCATTCTCATCCACCATCATCTCTTTGCTCTTCTCCACCCACCATGACCCAGGAACACACTAATATTTTAAACACTACCTTGCCAATCTCATTTTCACATTCATCTCGTATTCCGCTTCTTCTCTGTTACATCCCACCAGCATGTGCATCATCCCCTGCAGATTGTGCCAGTCCCCTGCATTCATCGGCTCTGTCAAGTACCATAAGTGAAGAAACGCCGCTCAACTCTACCAAAACCATTCCCACCCAAAACCTTCTCGTAACTCATCCAAAACCAAACCAAATTCACCCTCTCGTCGTCCCCAACCATCAAATAAGATCTCAGAACCGGATAAAAGAGTATCTGAATGAGAAATCTCCAGTCGAAACTTCACGTTCCAGGAGAAACACTCCCAAAAATCCCGTGCGCCGCCGTTATGAAATTCGGAACCACCTTCCCGCTGAGATCCTGGTGAAATCTTCTTCAATCCCTGACCACCAGATCTGAAATCCAGATCCAGAAATTGGAAAGGCAGTTATGGAGGGCTGAGGATGTGCGGCCATTGGAGCTGTAATCAGCCAGGCTGGAGACGTTGACGACGAAGCCGCGGCAGTGCTCAACATTATGATTTGAGCTTCGACCACCATTTCCCTCTTTGTCACCATCTTGATTTGTCGTCGATGAAGAACGACGTCAACACAAAAACGAGACAGAGGAGGAGACGAGTTTTGGTAGAGAGCTCCGGCAAAGGATGAAGTGAACGACAATGAACTCGATTTGGCGGTGTCGCCGCCATTGTTGCAGTTGTTGCGAAGAAGAGAGATCCGACGGAGCAGAGTTGTTAGAGCAATTAGAGAGTGGGGGAGCAAAGTATAATTCGTTGTTTTTTGGATTTTCATTTAATTTTTTAATTTCGTGATATTTTGTCAATTTACCCTTTTATCCTGTTGTTACTATAACAAAAATTCTAGTGTTGTTATACTATCCGCACCTCGGTGGGAGGTCTAGGATCCGTTTTGGCGGAAAGGGATTTTTGGGCCACATAGTAAATATTCAGATTTTGAGGGACTGAAAGTGAAATATTGTTGTGGATAGAAGTGGAGTGATGGGAAGAGATCTGTGAGTAGGGATGGCAATGGGTCGGGTTGGGGACCCAAACCCATGGGTTTATCCGTCAAAAAAACCCGGGGTAAAACTCGTTATGTTTGAAAAACTCAAACCCAACCCAACCCGCGGGTTTTTGTGGTAAAAAATTTACAATAAAAAATTTCTTTCAAAATAAAAGTTTAACATCAATTTTCTCATACAAATTATTCGGCTAAATTACATGTTTGGTCACTCAAATTATATAAAGTTTTCACGTTTACCACTCGAATTACTTTTCTTTCTTATTCGCCACTAACTTTACGAATCGTTTCACCATTAGTCACCTGCCGTTAGTCTCCGTTAAAGTCCGTTAACTCTGTTAGTTTTCCTGATGATGTGGCAAACGGAATTGCTGACTGGACCAAAAATAAATAAAAATTAATTATCACCCTGCACTCACGAGCTGCTTCCGTCGTGGGCTTTCCAGAGAATTGCAAAAACAAACTCTAAACCCATTCAAGCAATCCAAACCTCACAAACCCACACAGTAAAGACAAAAGCTTCCAACAAACCCTACTCCATTGGCGCCGCCGTGGGATTTTGCTCACACCTCGTCTTCGTGGAAAAGCATATTGGGGATCCCTGAGCTCACCGAGAATTTCCGACCGGTCTCCGGGCAGACCAACGCCCTTTCCTCCAGGTGGATCTCTAGAAGTGCTTGGTGGAATTTCCCGAGGTACGATTCGGACCCCGCATCGAAATCGGAGGTTCATTCGATTTGTGGTACCAGATTCCCCAATGGCAAATCCATTTCCATACGTCGAATTCCTTCGTTTCTCAACAGTTGCCGCCCCCACGAGTAATTAATTTGCGCCGTTTCTCTGGCACCGGTGAGTTGGATCTCTTCTCACATTTACCGGGAGAAGGCGACCCTCCGGTAATCGAGGATGGGGAAATCAAAACACAGCCTCTAGCGTAGTAGCCAGCAGCTGAGGCTCGGATTCTCTCAGCATATACATCAGCAAGGAATGCAAATAGAATCCATTTTCTGCAATCGTCTGGTCTTCCTACTCCAACGGCGACAACGAGCCGTTGCTGCACTTCCCCCCCGACGAGGGGCAGGTGACGAGAAGCTGTTGTTCTGGAAGAACGGGTCTTTGATTCAACGGAATCACTGGGCTCAGTGTCAGCTTGGGGAAATCCAACGAGCTCTGTGACAAGATCTTCGCGGTGGAGGCGGAGGAGGGGGAGGAAGACGATGTGAGATTGGAATGGAAGTCGAAACGGCAGGCGGCCAGAAGCAGAGTGTTGATCATGACGTTGCGGTGCTTGAAGCTGTTGCTCCTGTTGTTATTTCTTGTTGGGTATGCTTCTGATGGGAGGGATGGAAAAATTGGCGCTGCCCTCATCACCTACGGCGGTGGCGGAGGATTTGGGGCCTCGAGGAGGAGGTTTGTTTGGCTGCGTTAGGCTCGGATGAGAGTTAAATTATTATTCTTTTACTTTAAATTTTTTATTTAGTTGGCATGTCATTAAATTAATGGTCCAGTCAGCACTTTCGTTTGCCACGTCATCAGAAAACTGACGGAGTTAACGGAGTCTGACGAAAACTGACGGTCGGTGACTAACGGTGAAACGATTCGTAAAATTAGTGGCTAATAAGAAAGAAAGGTAATTCGGGCGGCAAACGTGAAAAATTTATGTAATTTGAGTGACCAAACGTGTAATTTAACCCAAATTATTCATACAAAAAACACCAATCTAGAACATACAAGCAAACCGCAAATGATCAATACAAATTGTTCAAAATTAAAGATAAACAACTATAAACAACAAGATTAATTGAAATCTTCTTTCTCGTCAAATAAGTTTCTTCACTCTCCACTCCATAATATCAACTTCATTCTAAACAATTAGAAAGAACAAATTATACATGTCTCCACAAACATAAATAATATTAGTTGTTTAAAGAAGATATATTATTTAGAATATTAAATATACCGGGAAAGTAATTATATGTGTGGGCGGGTACCCATGGGGCGGGTTTACCTAAACCCAAACTCAACCCGGAGAATAGTGTAACGGGTTTAAACTCGAACCCGGCCCAAAACCCGTCAACACGAGTTTTACCCGCGTTGACCGGGTTGGGTCGGGTGGGTACCCGTGGGTTCGGGTTTTGTTGTCATCCCTATCTGTGAGGGTGAGGTTGATTTGGTTTGGTTACACACTGAGAAATTGAGAAGGCGGGTGGTAGGTAGGAGGAGTCCTTTCAATCAAGGTTTTCACGGGTTTCCATGGTTTGGAATTCTCATTAGCACATCATGTGGTTGTTTTTTTCTCATAGAGGCAGATCATTGAATAAGCTATATGGTTACTCGTAGACACATAATTATTCGTCATTATTAGCTACATGGTTGTAGCAAAGCATCGTAAAATAATATCAGAGGTTGTCACTAAAAGGTAGACGGTAAGATATTTTGTGCTGAAATGGATTATACCATTGAAAATCGCCTAAAGAATTACATTTCGGTAGGAGATTTTTTATGGCCGAAACGTACGTAGGTAAGGTACGGTTTTCCAAACATTGCTTTTAACTCGAGTTTCCATTTTTTTACAGAGAAATAAGATTAATTATGTTTTACAAAATTACATATTCTATAGAGAAGTAAAACGTTAGGACATCATGTCGTTTCTTCGATCGAGAAGGCGAGAGTGGTGGGTAGGAGGGGTCCTCCTTGGTTTGGAATTCATTAGCACATCATGTCGTTTTTTCTCATAGAGGCAGATTCCTGAATAGCCTATATATGACTCCTCATCGACACATAATTTTTCCTCATTAAAACGAAGCATTGTAAAACTGTACCGTATGTTAAACCGAACAAATTATCCGTTGGATATTTTGCGCGGAAATCGTGGTTAAAAACTGCCTACTGATTGAAACTTTGGTAGAAAGTTTTTACGGTCGAACAACAGGTACGGTACAATTTCACAAATACTGGGTTTATCCGATTGTCACTTTTTTATATAAAAAATCATATTGATTATGTTCTGCAAAATTACTTCAACTTCGATATAACATAGAGAAAAAATTAAAACGTTAATATATGCTAGAAGTGTGATTGGAAATTAACAAAAGATCGATTTGGAGAAGAAGAAGATATTTACAGTAACATGGAGTTCGTTTATATACATAGAACTCAGGGAAACATGGAAGAGAAAGAGGGGGAAGAATTAAGCTAACTAACTATCCTATTACAATCTAGTACCTAAACTATATAGTTGTAGATATACAAGTTTATTTAATATGCAATCTAGAACCCAAGTGCATGAGTCGTCCATTGAAGCTCCTAAGAGATGTCTGCCAACGCCTTGTACTTTACTTCTGCTGATGATATGGAGACAATAAGTAACGAGAGAAATGCCTTAGAAGCAGGGCTGGCACACAATATTTGGAGGCCCTGTTCGTAAATAAAAAATGTGGCCTCAAATTTTCCCCCAAAAATGTTCTCTGTTTTTTTTCGCTTACAATTACCTAATTCAAATTTTTTAGTTTACCTAATTCAAATTTTATAGAATAAAATATACCCAAATGTCCAAACAAATACTGCTGCGAGCGGCTCTCTTTGCTTGGTTGGCTGCGTATTTAACTAAAAAACGTAATGGAGGGGTATTAGGGAATTGAGAAGTTGATCGGTAGGGAAAGATATTAGGGATGAGCATTGACTATTGATTGGTGGAGAGACGTTGGATTTTATGTTGGAAGGTTGAGAAACGTGGGAAACGTATTATCATTTTTATTTTTGACAATGAGGGAAAATGTTGTCATTAATGAGTGTTTTTTTTTAATAGTTCTGCTAGTTGGCTGTAATGGGCTTTAGGATATATTTTTCAGCTTTCAAGGATGGACAATAATGGGCTTGGGGAAGAGTCAGCCCAAACAAAAACATTAATATAGGCCTAATGGGCAAGCAGGGAAGGAGGCAGCGAATAGGCCTAACTATGAGGCCCCAGATTTTAGAGGCCCTGTGCTGTGGGTCTGACCAGCACAGGGCCTGGGCCGGGCCTGCTTAGAAGATAGAAAACTAGTTATAGATCGTCTGATATGAGGGCAGACAACCTAATCTGAGTATGAAAAAGCACTCAGTCTAGTGTTTGAATTATAGGAGAAAAGAAGTCATTTGAGAGGTAGTTTAGAGGTATCGAAGGAGGAAATGGGTGGCATGTTCATGAACAATAGTTTGTGGCATCTAACATATTGATTCAATTGATTCACATCATAACAAATATCAGGTTGAATATTGCTAGAGGTATTGAAATCAGTTTATAAGAGTTTTTTCTTATCGAATCGCTGATATGATACAAATTAGCAATACACTGAAAATAGAAGATAGCACTAAAAATTAATATATGGTTGTGACATCTAGAACTAGCTGGGAGATGTTGTACAGCTTTCAATTCACTAGGTTTTTATTTTGACATAATTCAATTCATAAGATGAGTGGTTTGTGTTTTTGCTGCTGCATTTCCTTGAATTTGTAACTAGGAAGTAGGAACTTAGGTTAACGGAAGGTCACACCGCAAAACCCCTTTTGGGTTTTTTCAACGTGACCCACATAAACTAATTTGTAATTTCAGCGCTAGCAGCCAGCTTGTAAGAGAAAAATCAGAGGGAAAATACTTCTTTCTTGGCTTTGTTGTAGTGTGAGGTAGTGTCAATTTGGTGTCTAATGTTTTTTATCCGATAATGTTTATTTATTAGCTAAACCTTTTTTATATTCTTTTTTATCAGCCAAATTTATTGAAATACTAATTATTAGTCAAATGTTAATATCTAATGTTTTTTATCGGATAATGTTTATTTATTAGCTAAACCTTTTTCAGATTCTTTTTTATCAGCCAAATTTATTGAAATACTAATTATTAGCCAAATGTTAATATTCAGTTAGCAATTTTGCTAGTGATATTGACTTGGCAACATGATACCGACTTGAAAGAGTCACATGGAGGTCGACAATCCAAATTTTTAGTATTTTAAGTTTTTAACTAAGAAAAGAGTCACAAAATTATTAACAGTAACGTAAAAATGGCTAATACTTTGACGTGTTACAAAACGTTTGACTAATTCTTAGTATTTCAATATATTTATTTGGCTAAAATAAAAGAAAACGAAAAATATTTGGATAATAAATAGACATTATCTTTTTTTATAATAAAGTAAAGAAAGGAAAATCAGACTAATAGACTATCACTTGTTGTTTTGGTTAGTGATTAAAGCGTGTGCCTACTAAGTACATGGGGCTAAGTTATGCCTAGCATCAAGCTCTCATTTCCAAACCTAACTACACAAATTGTCGAGATACAGCCACCTTGCAGCAAAGGACCACTTCAAGAAGCTTTGCACATTTATATTCCTGAGCTTCCTGCACATTTCTTTTGAGACCACTAAACCTTTTATATTCACATGTTATGGCTAGGATAGGAGGTACCCCTTGTAGTCTCCCTAATCAATCACAAAGCTTGCTGATCTGCCTGCTGCCTGGAAAAAAAACCGCGTAAAGCTTAGGGAAAATGCTGAAATTACACGCGACCTCTCGGATTGATGATTCTGTGACTTTCTTAGGCATATAAAGTTTTTGGGGAACTAACCAGCGAAGGGTGTTTTAGAGTGGAAATGTTGCAGGTATTGGTTTCATAGTCACAAGAGAGCAGCAGCCTCACATGTGGAATGCTCTTCCAACTCTCTCCCAGAGCCGGTTTAGGGTTCCCCCGCTCTCCACCTACCATATGATTGGTCACCTTCCAAAACCCAAGTCATTAGGAAAAAAAGAACTATCCGATTGTGAATCAGATCCGAACACTCGGAAGTAAACTCAAAAGTATCAGCTAATGACCCTGTTCTAACTACAAACAAAACAAGGCAATCTCATACTAACTAACCAGGATTGCGATATCGTGCTCGTGTGCTAACTTCTTCAGCAAAACTCCTAGAGATGCCATCAAAGAATATCCTGTCATAAACCAATGCCCAAGGAACGAGCTTTAGAATGATCGAGTTGAAGAAAGAAAAAGGCCTAACAAGGTTTAGAAAGGCAGAAGAATGCCATACAAAGACATGATATATCATATTACCCTGCGAGCTGCCGCCTCCAAGGATAGGGGTGATCAACGAGGAGACTGAATCAACTATCAGTAACTGAACCTTACAGCCTTCCATGCATTCCTAAACAAGCACGAAAGGCTATTCAGCAGCAGGCAACCAAGGGGGGTAATAGAATGCGACATTGCATTTGCAAGTATCATTATGAAAGCAAACCTGTGATCCCAATATGAACTCCAACTGGTGTAGCACATTAAACAGCAAATTGATATCGAATACTGAGTGGCGCAATATTCTGCTCATTACTCTTTGTACAATGCCAGTATCGTCCTGTTTCGAGGGAGGACCGCCGTTCTCACAAAGGAAGTGATGTATACGCCTGCTTGAAAAGGAGTTCCCTGTATCTACATACACCACACTGCCCCTATCCATCTTGGCAACACTTGAAGCGAGCCTTAGACAAAGCTAAACAACGAATTACACTTCAAATCCAGATTTCGTGATGAAGAATCAAATTTGATTGGAATGCATTACTAAACTAATTACCTACTTGGGTTTTGCCAGATGAGGACGGCCCTGCCAATTCGGTCAATTGCCCCACCCGCAATCCACCATGGAGAAACGAATCGACCCTGAATATTTCGATTTCACAATCAGGCAAACAGAAATTATACAAACGCAGAAAGGGGTTTTTGCAACGGAAGAAGTGAAATTACGCTGCGATTCCAGTTGAGAGAACGCGTTTGTTATCCATTGCATCTTGCAGCAGCTCCAGGCCGTCTAACCATGGCTGGTGCAGCGTATCTACGATCGAAAGGACCTGGCTGATGCCCTGATTGCACGAATTGAAAATTACCACCAGCAATCTAACTTTACGCGAGTGCAGAGATAGGGTGAAGAGAGGTGTCTGACCTCTTTTAGTCGCAGGGACGCCGGCTGGCTCTCGGCGGCTGCGGCCAGTGAGTGGAGGTCGTGCGTAAGGAAATCCGCAATTGTGAGAATACTGTGTGAAGCGCAGAAGGACTGGAAGTTGATGTCCAGAAGTGGGAACTCCTGTTCCAGGGATTTCAAGGCTGTCATTGCTTTTTCCCCTTCTATCGGCGCCGGCGCCGTCGCCGTGGAAACTGGAAACGAGTTTGGTGCCCGCCGGTCGGGTCGCGTGGGTAAAATTCGACAGATGAAAGCAGGGGAGAGAAAGACAGACGGTTTATGGCTGACGAAAAGGGCTTCGGATCCGGTCCCAGCTATCTGGGCTTTGTTCGAACTTCCCATTTTGGGCTTTTAAGAGTCCGGGTCATCCCAGAGCTAAGAGATTGTTTGGAGGTTAGTATTCTAAAATCCTAATGTTGTATTAACTAATAACTAACTAGCCTATTACCCGGCCCGTTGGCCGGATTACTGTATGTTACCCACTTGTGGAATAGGAGAGAAATCAAGTGAGAGTGAAGGGATTGGGATTCCACTTGATTAGGACCGACCCACTAACCTGATTCTTCCCGACCCGCCCCAACCTAAAGGGTTAGAAAGAGTCAATAAGAAAATACGAACGGAGAGGATTAGTCATATTCATACATCTTGACTCTTCAGAAGTGGGTCAAACAGGATAAAGGTTGGGTGAGGGAAATTTTTAGCGCTAAGCAGAGTTCTGGGTTGAATAACTTTACTTAGGCCTAGAAATTGGTGTTGATGCAGACTACATTTTTTATTATACCATCATCAATCATCATTGAATTAGTCCTGGGCATCCCTCCCCGTTGTCGGTATGAATTCTAATGATGGCTCCGTTCCTTGCACCAGCCTTATCAGCGAGTTGTCATCTCGAGCATGATTTGCCTATGTACAAATGATACAATTAGAGTATGAAACTGAATTCAAAGAAAAGGAAAAGAGATTTCTATCACATGCCAATAAATACACACATAATAGTTGAAGCTAAGTGAAAGTCATTACTCGCACATCAATTCTCAAAAATTACAGATTAAACAATGGCTAGAATGGCACTGAAACTACCAAGAATCATGGACGAAACAACTTGTCAAATTAAATAATCCTTAGACTGAAACTACCTTCTAACTTGAAATAAGACATGATCACAGTTCATAGCTCTCTTCTCACTATGAATTGGTTGCAGCTCGTCCTTATCACTGCCTCCCAAGCTCAATTCAAACTGAAAAGAGACCGTTATGTAAGATAACCATATCCTTACTGAACATAATTTCTTTCTTCACTCCATTTTTGTCAGAGAAAAGAGTTACCCCCCTAATGTTGTATTAACTAATAACTAACTAGCCTATAGCCCGGCCCGTTGGCCGCATTTGTTTAAGGAAATGGAGTTACAATATCTATAATGATAGTGTCGAGAAATGAGTCTTGTTTTATATTATCATAAGATTGTTGCAATTTTGCAATTCGTTGAAGACGAACATGTAATATGAATGAACATTCATAATAAGTTAGAAATACATTTGAAGATTAGCTAATCACAATAAAAATACTTACATGAAATTTTACTAATCACAAATCTAATCTAGTTGAGTATTACGACAAATAACATGCAAGTCCAAAATAAGAAAACTCAATACATTGTCTCATTGTTCATGACATGGTACTCAATTCAGCAAAGGCAAAAATAATTTCATCAACACAAGTTCACAATAACCAAATGCATCGTTCCATGGACCGACTGTGACCATGACTTCAAATGTCTGTTCTCCAAGCATGTTCAGAAAGGCCATATAGTCAGCCTTGACAACATCTGCATGACTGAATACAGATTCAACAATCGTTCGTAACTGTGATGACGGGATGACGATGTCAACATCAATGAATTCGTCCTCAATTGTGAGGTGGACGAAATGGATTCTGGATGCAGGGGACCAGGACGTCGTCAAATTCGTTACACGTCCGGATAACAAAAAAGAGGTGCCCTGATGTAAACACAGAAACGAATATTGTCAAAGCAAATCGATAAAATGCAGCATGCCACAAAAGGCGTACGATTAAAAAGAAATTTATTTGTTTAGTTACCTGATTTTCGACATCCACTTGCAACATAATGAGATCGATGGTGTCGGCACGCTCACAAATTTCAAGAGCATCATCATATTGCAGATTAGCAATAAAACCATGGGGAAGCCTATATATTGGACTGTAAGTTTTGGCATTAAGTAGTGAAAAAGAATCGAAATTACATGATGTAGTATTTGTTGGATGCATGAGCAGTACTTACTGATTGAATTGAGGCAGGCCCGCCATATTGAATGCAATTCGCACGGTCAATGGAACCGAAGTGTTTTGTATGGGAAGTAGTAAACGGAAATTGTAACATGAGAGAAAGTGGTATCTCCATTATATAAAGGAGAGAAAGTGATTCTACACACGTGATTTACTTGGCCGCATGCAGTGGAGTACGTGTGTGTGTGGAAAGTGGGATAGTGGGGGAGTGGAGAAGGATTTGTGGCCTCGTGGGGGAGTGGAGAAGGTTGGCCATTTAGAGTTCAAGAGGCGGGTGTGTCACGGAACTCACGACCCACCTTCTTTTTTTTTTTTTTTTTTTTGAGGGGAACGACCCACCTTCTTAAAATCAAACATGCGCCTTCCTTTTATTTTGTTGCAATTAAAAATTCAAAAACAAAAGAAGGTAAGTACAGAATAAAATATAAAGAGAAGAAAAATCAGTTCACTTTTCCCAAAAAAGACCTAGCAGCCGCCCAAATTATGCTTTTTCAGTTTTAATAATTCTCACTTTATTCTTTTATCTCTAATAAGTGAAACAATAATTGTAAAAAAAATAATTGTTAAGTCTACCAAGTAAGTCAACACCGGTTTATGATCGGTTTTTAATATCGATTAACCACCGGTTATTTGATAAACCTTGAACCCTTTACTAATCCGGATCGATGTCCGGTTCCGTTTTAACAACATTGCTAATTGCGACTGTGTCAACAATTCTTGTCCAAAATTGCCTCTCAAAGTTGCTAATTATTATTTGATGCGCCAACCCGGCCGGCCCGGCCCACACCACCACTAATTAACATGAAATGAAAATCATAATGAATGTATTTAATAAAGAAATAATGGCTTGGAATGCGGCAGCCTTCACCTCATAGAAGATCCAAAAAAATCGGATACTGGGCAGTAGAGGAGGTGGGGGAGTGGGGGAGTGGAGAAGGATCCGCCCAAGGTAGTGTAGGTTGGCCTTTTTTTTATGGGAATAGGTTGGCCATTTAGTTTCAACAAATCCGGCTGGGCATTCCCTCTCTAACTATATTTTATTTAACTGAACCATGCTTGGGTTGTTTTGTGGGCTGGGTTGTGGTGTTTGGTGTGTTTGGGTTTTTTCTGGGTTGGGTTACCGTGGGTGTTGGGGTGGGCTTTGGAGTTTTTCTCTTGTGTTTTTTTCTGATTTATGTATTTGTGGGTGAGCTTTCATTTTGTGTTTTGGGTGGGCTCAACTTTACGATTTGTTTAGACTTCTATCTTTCAAGGATCATGATCCAACTCTTTATCATTTTCCGATTTCATAATGAAATCAGGTTTCTAAAAAAAAAAACAAAACTGAACCATGCTTAAAGTATCACTAATTAATTAATCTCGAGTCACTACTGAATGAATTTAAATCCTTTTATATAGGTTAATTTATAAAATAATTATTGTAGGTAAATGAGAAGAAAATCTCGCAAATCAAGTGTGATAATAGTTAAATTCTCCATAAGCAAAGTGATATCATAATTAATGTAATTAATAAAAAAATAATTTTATTTTTTATTTTGTGAATGTAATAGTTAAAAGTTGATGATATTTGTTAGATTGTAAATGAATTCTGCAAAAATATGTTTCTTATACAAATAATTCACATTGGATCATAACCAGGACTAAAAAAAATAATCAAGTGCATAACACAAACCGGACAATATTTCCTGGTTCATATGCGCATAAGTTCTGACACCCTATCTGCTTAACTACCATCTTGTAAAACAGCAGCAAACCAATCCAAATACATAAGTGATTCTCCATTATAAACAAAGTTGAGGAAATCAATTACAGCTAATCTCTTGCACACTGGGTGCTTTAAAACCAAACCATGAAACTAAAAGGCTAAGCTCCAACAATCTTATCATCACAAATAACAGTAAAAAAGTACGGTGGAGGTAGTAAATAGAGCCGAATGATGAGAAATGCCTAGCCAACCACTTCCTATTAAATGTTTGAGTGTAGTTGATATTTAGGAACACAGACCAGGAATCCATTAAAAGCACTCCATCCTTAAAAGGCAGCAGAGAACATCTTCAGCAAAAACAAATCACAGTGACGGACCATGCGGTTCCACGCGCCAACTTCATTGACAAACTGGTAATACTTCAAATCAATGCAGTTGAGAATGGCGATGATGTTAGTGTCCCAATCGATATTTGTCTTCGCAACCACATCACCAACAATGCGTCTAAGGTTGACAGAGGGAAACACAACTTCCAGCTCCTCAGTTACATCATTGATGGTGTAATGCACAACACTGACCATAGAGTGCGCCAAAGTTGAAATTCCAATGACTTTTAGTTTTCCCGTCAAGATGTATACCGTCCCCTAAAACAGACACATGGGTTATTGATGACGAAAATGAAGCAAATGTTGAATTGGGTAATGACTGTGTTTTAAAAAAATAGGTGTTTAGTTGAGTTTGAGTGACTTACCGTACTATACAGACTTAACTTTATCATATTAAGCTGTGGAACCGTGGTGTGCTCAGATATGTCGAGAGCTTCCTCGTATAGCAATGGTCCAACAATATAGTTAGATCCAAATTGGGGTCCATCTTCCCTGATAATAAATTAACCAGAATTACCACTATCAACAGATACCACACACATTAAAATTTAAAGTTTCAAAAATAAAGGTTTATGAAGCTTACTGGTTTAACAAAGGATGCAAGTGAGGTTTATTAGCTTACACAAAGGATTTACTGATCACGTGAGAATTCCTACTGCTAATGGAATTTTAGTTCAAATAGGAATGAGAATGCAAAAACAAAAACTCATGTTGGAACGTTGGAAGTGGCCATATATTAAAACCAAAAAGGGATGAGAATGCTAAAAGTAGCTATTACCCACTAACTACTTTTTTGGAACGTTGGAATTCCCCACCACTGGCGTAGCTGGCCGTTTCGGACGGTTACATAGTTGAGGTCGTGGGCCTCGTGGCCATGTGAAGTGGGAACATTTAATTAGGCAGATCAACCAACCCATGTACCATGCACGTAGTGCAAGTAGCCTCCTTAATTACCTTTCTATGGTAAGTCGAAAACCCTAGTTGAGCAAAGCTGTTGCCGCCGTTAAGCCAACATAATCAAGTCGCCTTTTCTGTCAATTCGTCGCGTAGTACGTACTTACCCTTGTAACAAAAAAAAATGTAATTAATATGATCTTTTAATTCACAAAGATTATTAAATGCAACACAAATTTAACCAAAATATTTATGATTAATAGGGGGTCCCAGTTTTCCAACACTATAGAGGGTATTCGAGCTAACTCATCCTTGACATTGTTGATAAGAAAAAAGAGCATATTTGATGAAGAGATAGGGGTGTCGTTTATGAGGATGAAAACACAATTATTAGTGGATATGCAGATGTTATTGACGGTGAAGCAATCTTAGAGAAGTCTAAAATTTTTGCATTACTTTTGATATTGATGACTAAAATTGAAGTGTGGTTTGGTTTTTTAGATGTCGGTTTCTTTGCATATGTGTCTTTTAGTAAGGATTTTGGACAATGAATCGGTGAGAATGATAGAAATATTATGATGTATATTATTTAACTTTTTCTGTAATTAAATCATTCAAATTCTTTAATACTTAGAAAATGTGTCACGCATTCTAGAATTATAATCATTGTTTAATTTATCAAATGAGCCGACCATCGGGTCGGGCCCTTATCTAGTTTGTTACTTGGACCTGTTCCACACTCCTCAAGCGTCCATGTCATCATCTGTTTCCCGCCATTCTTTTTTTTTTTAAAATGAACATCATGGTTTTTTTAATATGTTTTTTAAATATACATATAGCCTGTCATTAAGAATCTGAGTTTGGTAATATAATAAAGGAAACAACAACGTCATATAGATAAATACGATTTACTTCAGCCATACCTTGTCTTGTTACAATATTCAATATTGATATGCGCTCCAAATCGTAGTAACAAATATCGATTGTAGGGTACAACCCATCGATTATCCAGATCAACGCCGCCACAATTGAAAACTCTACCATTGTTCCGCCGACGATATTTAGCAAACCAAGTTTCATCAATAGTTGTTTGAGAAGAGTATTCCTTGGGGTAATGCTTACTACATTTCCCATTCTTCATGCACACATTATTAGGATGTACTGTACCACACGGGCCATGCATCATTGAACTTGTGACAACTGCATACAGTTCAGGATCAAGATCAGGATCCGGAATTTCAACACATATTATGGAATCAATAGCCGCAGGACCATGGAATTTATTCTCCAAGGCCAAAAAAAGCAATATGTGTGCATGAGGGAGACCCCTCTTTTGCCATTCAATTGCTTTGACATCTGTACAGCAAGATGCAAATAGTGGAAAAGGAATATTAGTTCAATGAGGTAAGAGAGTAATGGATGAAAATTAATAGATAAATAACGAATGAATAAGCACACATACATGCATTGATTTTCCCAAATATTTGTTTCTCGCGAATCTCTAACATAAACTCATCAAACTTGATTTTGAAAACTCTGGCGGTGATGTCAGCCCGGTCAGGATCTTTGCCACTGTACCTTCTAATCAAATCAACCATTAACTGTATCTCTGGCCAGTTAGAATTGCAAGTGAATGTTATAAACAAATCAGGATAACCAATCCACTTGCAAATAGCCATCGCATCCTGAAAATTCTCATACTTGTATCTTGGACTACCAGTGTGTGAGGCAGCTAAAATAACTGGCTTCCCAGAAAGCTTGATATCACTATCCCCTCGCAAATCAGAATTCAACAAATCCTTGTAGTAGTGTCCTCTTAGCTTCGACTGATGGGTACGCTTCCAGTCTAAGCGTTCAGCCTCAATTAACGCAAATGCATTCACCATATA